GGGTAACGGAGCCCCGGTTCAGTACGACCAGGGCTCCGCTACCATGAAACGGTGCGGGCGCGCTTTTCCGAAAGGAAACTTGGGCCTAATGGCCAAGTCGGTTCATGAGCTTCACATGAGCTTCACATGTGCTTGACTGGCTGCTACCTTCCTTGCCTAGAATCTGTCAATGTATGTATATATGCTTTCCGGAAAAAAACGGACAAACCGGGCAGGAAAAGGTTGCCTGGCTTAGTGATTGGTTCAATCCTCGGATTTACAAGAGGAGCAGGAGGAACATTTGGTGGCACATCTGGATGTTGCTAGCAGGTCTTAAGGACAAACCGTGCTTTAACATAGCCAAAGACTGCACTGGGATGTTTCACGAACAAGTATATTATATATATATATATATATGACCCCCAAGCACCCCTAATCTCAACGGTGACCTCCATCATCAAATGCCTTGTTGACACCCCCAAAAAAGGTGACAACGGTATGAGCTTCAAAACCGCAAATGGCTTTGGTTTCTACTTCCGCTGAGTGACATACTCGCAAACTCCACTTTTTCTCCCTCTTTGCGCAGTGCATTGTGTCCCTGGTTGCGCCCACATGTCGCTCGAAAGGATACAGAAGAAACATTTTCGACTGGGCCCCTTGATCGATTGTTTGATCGAAGGTCCCCAAGCTTACCCAAAGGTATGCAGGGGTACCAGTGGCCAGTGCTAGGCAGACAAAACCGCAGTTACCGCAGGGTTATGAGCCTCTGCGGATCTCAGTTGAACCAAAAATCACGGGAACGAGCAACGGCGAAACCCAAGGGATTGGAGTAGAGTGGTGCAAACAATGTATTTCAAGCGGCGCTTACTGAACACAATCTGAAAACCTTCAAATAAACCCGCAAAACTGGGTGTAACAATTACATCAAAAAATATTGTTCCACTCAGTCACCACTCACGTTAACATGTTGAATCGGATCAATTGGGCATAGTAACGTCCTGGCCCAGTTTTGGACACATATTGTAAAATAGAATTACTATTGTTACATTATTCTTGCATACTCTATGCATTTCAAGATGTCCACCAAATGCACAAATCTTAAGAAAATTATGAGGGCCTAAGCCGCAAACATCTGTATTCCCTTCTACACGAGGGTGTTTCCACTTCCATGGAAAAGTTCTTCACCTGTTGCTAGAGTCTTACCAAAACCGTTTGAGGCGATCACCAAGTCCTTTAAACATATCGACATGTATGAGTTTTTGAACCGTCTCCCAAACAAACGCCTCCCGTGTCGGGGATGGAGGGTAGAATCGGACTCTTCGGGTATCCGTGGCAGCCACCAACGCAAGATACGCGAGATCAAACACCTAGTCAAGGTATACACAGGCGCAAAGTTGCAAGGTCTTCACTTCCCCTATTGATCAAATAAGTTGCAAAATATTGAAACAAATAGCTCTACTTCGAGTGATCCCATCAAAGACGATTTGGAAGAAGGTAGGGTACATGTATTGACAGACTATAGCCTGATAAATGCGGATATGCGGGACGCTTTTTACGGCATCAACTCTGGCTTGTGCTCTGACACATCATCTATCATAAAGGCCTGTGTTCTGACGTGCTAGTTACTAGTTGGCGTGTGTTCTGGTATTTTTGCCGTCCGACATGTGATGTAAAATATGGACTGATTTTTGTTCTGGCATGTGCTCTTTATGTAGAGTTATGAGTGCCCACTGCGATCTGGAGCTTGCGCTTGAGGTCCAAGAGTTCCCATTGCAATTTGGAGCTTGCGCTTGAGGGGGATCTGGCGCTTGCTGCTGGGGTCCGGGAGTGCCCTGTGCGATCTAGCGCTTGGTTTACTGCGATTTGGCGCTTGCAGTTGCGGTCCGGTAGTGCCCACAGCGATCTGGCGCTTGCTGTGCAGG